CCTATTTACATGCTTAACTGCATCATAAGTTTTCAGATAGTGCTTGAGATCATCACTAATGAAACAGCAAGGGCTTTAGATCTGTTAACCCAGTAATCTACAAAAATGACAAATACTATCTATCAGAATAGATTAGCTTTAGACTACCTCCTAGCCCAGGAAGGAGGAGGATGTGGAAAGTTCAATGTAACTAATTGCTGCCCAGAAATCAATGACAGTGGAAAGGCAATTATAGAAATAACTGCAAGGATGAGAAAATTAGCCCATGTTCCAGTTCAAACTTGGAAAGGGTGGTCTCCAGATTTTTCCTTTGGAGATTGGTTTTCATTTTTCGGAGGGTTCAAGGCTTTAATAGGAGTAGTTCTGGCTGTCCTAGGAAGTTGCCTAATACTCCCCCGTCTCTCACCTCTCCTTGTTAGAAGCATTCAATCAACTACAGAGGCAATAGTAGCTAGGCAAATCACCACTCAGCTAATGGCTCTGTGTAAATATCAACCTTTGCCCAAAGAAGAAAACTTGTTTGTTCATGCAGAATTAAGTCATAGTGAGGCCTTTTATTAAACTTATTTTACAAAAGTCCTCAAAAGGGTTAAAAAGAAAAAGAAACAAGTTTTCCTCTGCTTAGCAGCTCACTTCAAAGACAGTTATAAGATAACACTGTCCAAAAAGCCAAGGCCAAAGGAATGGGCTCCAGACAGCCCCCCACCTCCAGAGCAAGGTTGAGGAAAAAAAGAGAGAGAAATTCCTTTACTGTTACTCCTTTCCCTGGCCTCTTAATTAAGCATGACTATGTTTTACAAATGTCTGTATTTAGCCAGTTCTTGTTTTTCTTTTGATGCAGCTACAAGGCCACCAGCTAGGCAAGGCCACAAGTTATGCATTCTATGATTGACTGCCTTTTTTTGCTTTTGTAAGCCTGCTTATAAAAACTCCACTCTGTCTTTGTTCAAGGCTCAGGTTTTTGGATGTGAATCCACTGAGCTGGTGCATACCTTAAAATAAATATCCTCCTATGTTCCCCTGTACTGGTCTCTCTAGTCCTCTGCATCCTGCAACATTACAGCAGAAAAAATTCCATTGTCTGGATGTATTGTATCCATGCACCTGCTGAAGGACATCTTGGTTACCTCCAGGTTGTGGCAATTACGGATAAAGCTGCTATAAACATCTGCTATGTTGACCAAAAACCCAAACTGTAAAGTATTTGAAGAGATTTTTTTCTGAGACAAATATGATTGACTATAACAAGAGGCATGGTCTCAAGAGTTCCTGAGAACATGTGCCCAAGGCAGTTGAGTTCCAGCTTGGTTTTATACGTTTCGGGGGGACATAAGACATAAATCAGTAATGTGAGAGAGTTTGGGATGGCTTACAAATCATAGGTGAATTCAAAGATTTTCTGATTAGCAATTGGTTGAAAGAGTTATCATCAAAAACCCTGGAATCAACAGAAAGGAGGGTCTTGGTTAGGTTAAAAGGTTGTGAAGATCAAGGTTCTTTTTTGTTTTTGAGACAGAGTTTTGCTCTTGTTGCTCAGGCTGAAGTGCAATGACGTGATCTCTGCTCACTGCAACCTCCACCTCCCAGGTTCAAGCAATTCTCCTACCTCCACCCTCTGAATAGCTAGGGTTACAGGCATGCGCCACCACACCCAGCTAAACTTTTGTATTTTTAGTAGAGATGGGGTTTCTCCATGTTGGTCAGGCTGGTCTCAAACTCCCAACCTCAGGAATCTGCCCACCTCGGCCTCCCAAAGTGCTGGGATTAGAGGCGTGAGTCACCGTGCCTGGCCCAAGGTTCTTGTTATGTAGATGAAGTCCCATAGATGGCTTCCCTTAGGGACAATAGATGGCTAATGTTTCTTACTCAGACCTCTAGAAGGCGCTGGACTCTTCAGAAACGGCCTGGAAAGGGAAGGAGATTCTCTACACGATGCAGATTTCCTCCACAAGAGACAGCTGTGCAGGGCCATTCCAAAATATGTCAAAGAAATATATTTTTGGGTAAAATATTTCAATGTCTTTCATGGCCTGCTATCTGTCATGTGATGCTATACTACATCAGGTTGGAATTTGATCTTATTTCTAGAGTCTGTTCTGTCAGTCTTAAGATCTCTGTTTTAAAGCTGGTCAGCTGTGCCTGAATTCCAAAGGGAAGAGAGAATGAGGCATGTCCGACCCCTACTGCCCATCATGGCCTGAACCTTCAGGTTCCTTTGGGTCCCCCTGGCCGAGAGGGCGTTTCACCCAGTCAGTTGTGGGGCTTGGAATTTTATTTTTGGTTTACAGCTATAAACATCTGTTTGGAGGTTGGGTAAATCCTAAGGAATGAGAATGCTGGATCACATGGTAGAAGTAGGCTTTATTTTTCGGGAAACTGCCAAACTGTCTTCCCAAGTGGCTGTACCATTTGTTATTCCCAACAGCAATGAATGAGAGTTCTGGTTTCTCCATGTCCTCATCAGCATTTGGTGTTTGGCCAATTTTCTGGATTTTGGCCATTCTTACAGGCACCCAGTAGTAGCTCACTGATTAAATTTGCATTTTCCTGACAACATATGATGTGCATATCTTTTTTCTTTTTTTTTGGGAGGGGGGATGGAGTCTCGCTCTGTCACCCAGACTGGAGTGCAGTGGCGCAATCTCGGCTCACTGCAAGCTCTGCCTCCTGGGTTCACGCCATTCTCCTGCCTCAGCCTCCTGAGTAGCTGGGACTACAGGCGCCTGCCACCACGCCCGGCTAATTTTTTGTATTTTTAGTAGAGACGGGGTTTCACCGTGTTAGCCAGGGTGGTCTTAATCTCCTGACCTTGTGATCCGCCCGCCTCGGCCTCCCAAAGTGCTGGGATTACAGGTGTGAGCCACTGCGCCTGGCTGATGTGCATATCTTTAAAAAAAAAAAATACAAATGGGTCTTGCTATGTTGTCCAGGCTGGTCTTGAATTAACTAGGCTCAAGAGATCTTCCTGCCTCGGCCTCCGAACGTGATGGGATTATCCTCCTGCCTCGGCCTCCGAATGTGATGGGATTCCAGGCGTGAGCCACTGCACTCAACCTAGGTTACGTTTTCAGATGCTTAGTTGCCACCCATATAACTTCTCTGGTGAGGTGTCTGCCTTTGACCCATTGTGGAATCAGGTTATTTTCTTATTTATTGAGTGCTAAGAGCTCTTGGTATATTTTGGATAACAGTGCTTTATCAGATATCTTTTGCTAATGTTTTCCCAGTCTGTGGCTTGTCTTTGTTTTCTTAACAGTGTCTTTGCAGAGCAGAAATTTTTAATTTTAATGAAGTCCAGGTTACATCACACAAGGCAGAACTGCAAATCCAACACAGGTCCCAACCAATGCTGACGCTCCCCAGCTGTGTGGCCTGGGCCCGTGCCTGCCTCTCTGAATTTCACATTTCCCCATCAATTCCTTCACTCAGCAAAACTATGGATGACAAGTGCATGGCACAACCAATATTAGGGTCTACAGTTATTGTTTACAGGTTGGTCTAAAAGGAACACTTAAACTTTGTTTTCAGGCAGAGAAACATTCACTTAAAAGTCCTAGTTAGGGGCTGAGCATGGTGGCTCATGCCTGTAATCTCAGCACTTTGGGAGGCTGAGGCGGGCAGATCACCTGAGGTCAGGAGTTCAAGACCAGCCTGGCCAAAATGGTGAAACCCCGTCTCTACTAAAAGTCCAAAAAAATTAGCCGAGCGTAGTGGTGCATGCCTGTAGTCCCAGCTACTCAGGAATCTGAGGCAGGAGAATTGCTTGACCCCAGGAGGCAGAGGTTGCAGTGAGCTGAGATCAGGCCACTGGACCCCAGCCTGGGTGATAAGAGCGAAACTCTGTCTCAAAAAAAAAAAAAAAAAAAAAGTCATAGGTCAGTTTCTACATCTGCATATTAAAAAAACCCCAGCGTTCTAACTAACTGTGTATCGGTAGATGGCCTAACCATAGTGTTACTCAAAGGACCAGGAGGCACAATTGTTTATTCTGTGGGAGAATTTAAGGAGAATGAGCAAATCGATCTTAAATGATCCTTAGTAGTCTTAATATTTTATCATATATTACTTTATATAATTTATAATTTGTTATTTAAATTCATGCACTTTAAATATAACTTATATGATTTATTGCAATATCTTATATTTCAAAACTAGCATATGTATGTTATAGGGAAAAGAACATAAACGATGCTGTTGCTGTCAGGAACCCAGACTTTTAGCATAGGTAGAAAAAGAAACAGTTGTAAAATCAGAGAAGTAAAACCTGACAATCTTACAACTGGGAAATGCCTGCATGAATTCATACTTTTATTATTATTATTATTATTTGAGATCGTGTCTCGCTCTGTCACCCAGGCTGGAGTGCAGTGGTGCGATCTCAGCTCACTGCAACCTCCGCCTCCCGAGCTCAAGCGATTCTTCTCCCTCAGCTGGGACCTCAGGTGCGTGCCACCACACCTGGCTAATTTTTTGTATTTTTAGTAGAGATGGAGTTTCACCATGTTGGCCAGGCTACTTTCGAACTCCTGACCTCAAGTGATCCTCCTGCCTCGGCCTCCCAAAGTGCTAGGAATACAGGCATGAGCCACTGTGCCCGGCCTCATACTTTATTTTTTTTTAATTGATTAAAAAAAATACTTATTTCCTGGCTCTGTCTCTTCCAAAGCCCTAGCGGTAAAGAAATCCCAGGAGCAAGCACCACCCCTGGTGACCAGATTGGGGTCTCTAAACAGCATGTTCACACTGACAAAGGAGTGCGCCCTGGGGAAATGGTTGGCCCAGGTCCATGGCAGGAAATGCCAGGGAGGGGCTGGAGTTTGCAGCATCGCGGTGGCTCTAAGTAAGGAAGGTACCCAAGAACGAAGGGTTGTGTCAAAGGACTACAGAGACCAACCTGAGGCCGCCTCTGGCCAAAGACAGACGAGCTGGGCATGAAAAAGCAAGCCTGCAATTGACAGGCAGATCCCGCAGCTTAGCCTTGGGAGCAAAGAAAGACTCCAGACAGGGAAATGAGGTTTTATTCAGGAAGAGCTTAAGACGGGAGGGGAGCCCCTGGGGTCCCACCCTTGCGGCCTCTTAAGACCAAGGCTCATGGGATGCTAGAAACTAATGACTACAGGCATCTGAGCTCCCTTGGAGTCATCTGTGGGGGGCACAGGGGCGGCCTCGGAGTCACCCGAGGGGTGTACAGGGGTGGCCTCAGAGTCCCCCGTTGGGGGCACGGGGGTGGCCTCAGAGTCACCCGTTGGGGGCACAGGGGCAGCCTCGGAGTCACCTGTGGGCGGCACAGGAGTGGCCTCAGAGTCACCCGTTGGGGGCACGGGGGCAGCCTCGGAGTCACCTGTGGGCGGCACAGGAGTGGCCTCGGAGTCACCTGTGGGGGGCACGGGGGTGGCCTCGGAGTCACCTGTGGGGGGCACGGGGGTGGCCTCGGAGTCACCTGTGGGTGGCACAGGAGTGGCGTCGGAGTCACCTGTGGGGGGCACGGGGGTGGCCTCCTGGTCGGTCACCGTGGGCAGCGCCACATAGGTGAGGGTCCAGTAGCGCAGGAAGTTGGTTCTCAGGCCCCGCTTCAGGGAGCTGCCATCCATCTTCTTGGTGATCTCCAGGTAGCTGCCGTTTTCCGAGGTGTAGGGTTCCCAGTGTGTGGGCACAGCCGAGTCGCCCGTGTTGGGGTCCCTGCAGAGTGAGAAGAGGCTGTGCAGGGGCTGGGGACTCCCAGGGGGCTGAAACCCTGCTCTGCACCCGCACGCCTGAGCCATCCCCGTCCTCTGAGCTGGCCCTGGGCACCGTGGCCCCTCACTGTATACGGGACACAGGCTGTGCACGTGCGCGGGCTTGGGACTGCCAGTAGCTCTTATCCTCGTAAACACACATGGATTCCGATGCAGGGGGAGGTTAAGTGACTTGCCCAAAGTCCCTCTGCTGGCAAGTGAGGGAACAGGGCCTTGTGGTGGGAGGCCCTTCTCGGCTGCAGCCCTTCGCCCTGCTCTCAACCCACGCCTTACCCTGTTTTGGCAAAATTGGTCCAGTAGGCGATCATGGCCTTGGAGACTGTCCTGTCTTGGGGCCGGTAGCCGTTGGGGGTGGCGAAGGGCTTCCCGAAAACGTACTGGATGTCATCTGCATGGTCTGCCCCCATCCATTTGGCGTAAGTGGGCATCCGAGAGGGATGGGAAAACAGGTAGCTGTAGGTCTTGGCACTCCTGGAGGGGAGAGACCATCCAAGTAGGCAGGGTGCTCACCGGGGACCGCCCAGCCCACAGACTGGCCCTGGAGGGAGGTCCCAGGCAGTGGGCAGGGAAGGGTCTGAGGGATTCACATGAAGAGATGGAGCTTCTCAGACCCAGGAGAGGGAAAGCTGAGAACCAAATTCATGGATTCATGGGTTCTGCCATTTCTGTTGAATTTATACTTCACCTCCACAAAACACTGTGAGGCACCTTCCTTCTAGAATTCAGTATCAAGAAATATTTTGCTCTCCAAGTGCATGTGCATTCTTCAATTAGATTGGACAAGGTATAGGCCTCTCAACTGTTTCCCTTTTCGCCTTCAGTGAAAAGAGGCTCACAGCTAAATGTATTGCTTAGTTGCTGCAAAGCTTTCATCCTAGACTTCTCGGTATCCTTTTATCTTCCTATCTTTTTCGTATTCCTAACTGATTTTTTATTTTTATTATTTATCTACTCATTTATTGGAGACACAGTCCCACTCTGTTGCCCCTGGTGGAGTGCAGTGGCGTAATCTCGGCTCACTGCAACCTCCACCTCCCTGGGTCAATCAATTCTCCTGCCTCAGCCTCCTGAGTAGCTGGGATTATAGGTGTGCGCCACCACGCCTGGCTGATTTTTGTATTTTTAGTAGAGATGGGGTTTTGCCATGTTGGCCAGGCCGGTCTCCAACTCCTGACCTCAAGTGATCCTCCCGCCTTGACCTCCCAAAGTGCTGGGATTACAGGCGTGAGCTACTGTGTCTGGCCTTATTTTTTATTATAATTGGCTATTATTACATGAAGATTTTTAATCTGGCTGTGGGCTGAAACTGTTTTGTAAATTGGCAAAGTCGAGGCCCATAAGAGTCAGTAGATAGAAACCATTGTCCAGTGTTGTCTCAATGCACAGTGTGGGGGATGGAAGGTAGCTCAAGAATTCTCCAGTGGGAAGGACCATGGGGTGCAGGGCTGAGCAGGGCAGAGGATCGTGGGGTTCGTAAACCCCTGTAGGCTGGGAGGGAAAAAGAGGCCCTCAAGTCTTGCCAGGCCTCAGCAAAGTGGATGAGGCAGGCACAGGTGGGGACTCAAGCACCACTTTCCCAGTCAACCCAGACACCTGAGAGTCACTCACAGTGAGGCCTCGGCTGGCAGGTGCAGCACCCCAGGAAGGGCCCCAGAAGCCACCCCCTGCCCAGATCCTCACTTGGCGTTGGCTCTGTGCTGGGCCAGGGCAATCTCGGTGGGCACCAGGAAGAGGATATCGGTCTCAAAGTCCACCACAGTCTTCTTCTTGTTCTCCTGGGATGGGTCCTGGGCCCAGGACTCAGTGTAGACATCAAAGGTAGTCTTGGCACCTCTGAGCCCCTTGGTCATTGTGAGCCCACTGACCAGCTTGTAGAAGTCCTCCCTGCGGGGACCAAGTAGGCACTGACACTCCCCCTGTGCGTACCCACCCCGACCGGTGCTAACTTCCTCACTCCCAGTCCTCCACTGAGTGTCTTCCTCCTCCAGGCTGGCCCCCTCACCAGTGCCTTCCCGGCCGCCCTCCAGCACGGGTCGCCCCTGGGTCCTGTGCCCCCTGCTTACTCCGTGACTTCCTTGTTGTCCTTGTTGATGGCAGGCATGTCGATGCTGGCGAACAAGTGGCCGTCCATGTTGTTGGTGCCTGCTATATAGTCGATGTCGGCGGCATTGGCGTACAGGTTGATGGGGTCATCGGGGATGAAGTCTCCATCAATGACAGGGATGAAGCCCAGATAGTACAGCATGGGGTCTGGGTGGGAGAGCCAGGAGGTTCTTGTACCTTCCAGTGTCCCCTGAGCCACCCCTTGCCTCTCAGGGCTGGAGTTGGCTATTTCCTCCCTTCTCTGATCTAAGGACACTTGGGGCCGGGTTGATTCTGCACCATCGGGGCATCCTGTGCCCTGTAGGATGTTTAGAGCATCCCCGGCCTCAACCCACAAGGTGCCAGGAGCACCCCCTCCCCAGCCGTGACAATCACAAACGTCTCCAGGCCCTGCCACACGTCCCCAGGCTGACAGCCACTGTCTAGGGCCAGATCTGTCCTCTTCAGCGGCAGCCCCTCCCTCTCCTCTCTCTGCTGGGCCTGAATCAGGAAGGAGGAAACTTAGAAGCCGCTGAGGGAACTGATGGAGAAGGAGCTCCCTCTCTCAGGGCCGGGCTCCACTCCATTAGCCAAAAATGGTGTGAGGTCTGCATTGCTCTCCAGACTCCCGGACTGGCCCCTAGAGGACCCTGTGGCTGCTGAGGCAGGCGGGGCCCGGCTGTCACTGGGCCCAGCACAGTGGGCTTTGCTTCCAGCGGGACCGTGCGGCTTGCTTTGTTTGGGCGTGTCCAGCCCATGCAGTTGAGCTCATGTCAGGTAAACATGCAGATGACTTGGCTTCATGGCACGTTGCCATAGAAGAATATGCAAGGGAGAGCGTTAGCCTGGCAAGCTGGTGCAGCGGCCATGCACAGGTGTTTGTGGATGGGGTCCCCAGGCCTTCCCGGGGTACAGAATAGTGGAGCTGGAGGCCCCAGTGCTACAGTTCAGTAAATGTTTGCTGAATGAATGAACTGTCATTTAGCACAAAGGCTCTTGCTCTGGGGTCTATGGATCTGCCTGAAATTGTATGCAAATGACAGCATATGAATACATGAGGTGGGGGAGGGGCCCCAAATGTTCATCAGCTTCTCAAAGGAGGAGTCTGTAACTCATGGGAGATAAGAAGAAAGAAGGGGCCGAGCACAGTGGCTCACACCTGTAATCTCAGCACTTTGGGGGGCTGAGGCGGGCGGATCACCTGAGGTCAGGAGTTCGAGACCAGCCTGGCCAACATGGTGAAACCCTGTCTCTGCTAAAAATACAAAAATTGCTGGGCGCGGTGGCTCACACCTGTAATCCCAGCACTTTGGGAGGCCAAGGCGGGCGGATCACGAGGTCTCAAGAGCGAGACCATCCTGGCTAACACGGTGAAACTCCATCCCTACTAAACATACAACAAAAAGAGCTGGGCATGGTGGCATGTACCTGTAGTCCCAGCTACACAGGAGGCTGAGTCAGGAGAATCACTTGAACCCAGGAGGCAGAGGTTGCAGTGAGCTGAGATCCTGACACTGCACTTCAGTCTGGGCAACAGTGAGACTCCATCTCCAGAAAAAAAAACAAAAAAAAAACCCAAAAACACCCAAATGGCTCCCCTTCTCCCTTACAGCTGGGGCTTTTGAGGGGAGTCACCAGTTTGATGGCAACAGGACCAGACCACAGCTCCGGCACCTTCTTCTCTTCTCCAGAGTACTTCCTGGCGGTACCCCCACAACCCCCACCTCGAGACCCCATGCGCCAACCCGAGCAGCTACTCACACTCCATGCCTGCCAGCGGCATCTTATAGGCCAGCGTCAGGGCTCGGGGGTCAGTAACCTTCAGACACTTGGCCATCCTGGCGGTATCGTCCACAGGGCAACCCACCTTCTCAGCCACCTGAGGGCAGGAGCAAGGCCGGCAGGTAGGTGAGGACAGTGCTCAGGGCTCCGGACCATTGGAAGGCAAGGACAGGGTCCAAGACAAAGAATGGAAATGACGACGGCCCCCACCTGGGTATCAATTCTGCCCCCACGCTGCCCAGCCCTGCCCTCCTCCGTTTACCTTTTTGGCCCAGAAGAGTGGGTTTTTCTGGATGACCCAGGGGCTCAGGGCCACGCCGCTCTGGCTGATGGCTCGCCGGATGAGGCCCTTGTTGTAGGGGGAGAGGGTCTACGACAGCCAGAGATCCTGTCACCAAGGCTGCTCCCCACTCCACCCACCCCAGGCTGGGCCGAGGACACCCCAGCATCACAGCCCCAGCTCCATGCTCCTCCTCCCACCTCCCCTTCCCGTTTGAGCTTCCTCCCAACCTGTGGGGCAGGCCCTCCCCACGGGGATCCCCAGACCTGCAGAGAGACGCTGGCACCTCCAGCAGACTCCCCAAAGAGTGTGATGTTGTTGGGGTCCCCCCCGAAGGCCGCGATATTCCTCTTCACCCAAGCAATGGCCATGTGCTGATCCCGAAGGCCATAGTTACCTGCGGGCAGGGCAGGGGAGAGGGTGCTAGAGATTAGTGGCCCAGGCCTGGCCTCCAGGAGGGGAGACCAGTGTGGGTGGGGCAGAAATGCCCTCAACAGACTTGGGGCCACGGCAGAGCCCCGGTTGGCAAATGGTGGGTACCTGAGAAGCTGGGTCAGGTGGGGCGCTGGAGGGGGTGGGTCCCCAGGAGGTTGGATCAGTAGGGTGCTAGAGGGGGTAGTGTTTGTGGGGAACAGGATGGTCAGGCCCATGCACCTCTCCTGCCCCTGCCCCAGTCCCTCTTGTCTGTGTCCTGCCACTTCTGTGTCCACAGCTGTCTCTGCCTCAAGGTATCGTTTTCTGTCTCTCATTCGGCTCTGCTCTACTGGTTTATCTCTCAGCTTCAGCCTGTTTGCCTGTCTGTCCCACAGCCTCTTTTATGTTTGAGATGGGGCTTATTCTGTCGCCCAGGCTGGAGCACAGTGGCACGACCACGGTTCACTGCAGCCTGCAATCCCTGGGCTCAAGCGATCCTTCTGCCTCTGCCTCCCAGGTAGCTGAGACCAGAGGCATGAGCTACCATGCCCAGCTAATTTTTCTTTTTTTTGAGATGGGGTTTTGCTCTTGTTACCCAGGCTGGAGTGCAGTGGCACAATCTCGGATCACTGCAACCTCCACCTCCTGAGTTCAAGCTATTCTCCTGTCTCAGCCTCCCGAGTAGCTGGGATTACAGGCAAGTGCCACCACACCCGGATAATTCTGTATTTTTAGTAGAGAAGAGGTTTCTCCATGTTAGTCAGGCTGGTCTCGAACTCCCGACCTCATGTGATCCGCCCGCCTTGGGCTCCCAACGTGCTGGGATTAGAGGGTTGAGCCACTGCGCCTGGTCCCCAGCTAATTTTTTATTTTTTTGTAGAGATGGGGGTATCCCTGTGATTACCAGGCTGGTCTTGAACTTCTGTGCTCAAGTGATCCACCTGTGTCAGCCTCCTAAAGTGTTGGGATTACAGGCATGAGCCACCTCACCTGGCCTCCACCGCATCTTTAATTTTGCTATGGCTGCCAAGGGCCTCCTGCTTCTCGTGATTCTACTCCAGCTTCTGGGTCTTTCTGTGGACGGCTACTGGTTGTTTGGGGTGAGGGGCACTGAGGAGAATCTCCCTGCTGGACTCAGCAAGCTGGCCGCCCCACCTCAGGGCCGAAGAAGCCCACGCACCTGGCAGGTTGGCGTCCCCAGTGCTGAGGAACCCAAGGGGGCCGACACGGTAGTTGAAGGTGACCACGATGACGTTTCCGCGTGTGGCAATCTCCTCGCCGTCATACAAGTAGTTGCTGAGGAAGTTGGCCCCGTGGCCGGACCCCATGAGGAAGGCGCCTCCATAGATCCAGATCATAACGGGCAGGTCCCGGGAGACTGAGATGGGGGAGCGGCCGGTGACCCCAGACGCCGCGCCTGGCCCTCTCCCCACCCTGTGCAGCAGGTGCCTGCGGCCGAGACAGGGATGCGCTCCAAGGCACGGCCCTGCCCCAGGCTGGGGGACTGACACGGGCGCTCCCCTCTCCCCTCTGCGGGATTGCAGGGCAGTTCAGCTTTGCAGCCCCAGACTCAAGCCAGGAGCAGATCCGGGGCTCTGGCTGCGTGGGAAGTTCCCTTGTGGAGCAGGGGGCAGGCAGACCTTGCTTCCTGTCCTGGGGCACCCAGATGTTGAGGTACAGGCAGTCTTCATCCCCGTAGGTGCTGTCCTGGGTGATGGTGGCCTGCAGGCATCTCTTACTGAAGGACTTGGCCTTCAGGGTCCCTGCGGGTGGCAGGAGGAGTTGGCATGAGGAAGGCAGTCGCCTTCACCAGCCCCACCGCAGGGCCAGTCCGGCACCACCCACTCCCACCTTGCCAGCCGGGGTGTGGCTGGGGGTTCTCCAGGGCCTTGGTGGGAGCTGCGAAGGGGATGCCCTTGAAGATGTCCACAGAGTCACCCAGGAGGCCGAGCTTCTTATTGACGCCTTCCACGAACCCACCTTCCGTGTACACGGGGCCCAGCTGGGAGGGAAACACGGGCAGGGTCAGGCAGGCTCAGGCCCCATCGGCCCGAATCTGGAGTGGGCAAGGCAAGCCAACACTGGGTGCCCAGAGGCAAAGACAGCTTCAAAGCAAGACAGCTTTGCCTAGGAGACCCAGACAGCACCCTCTGCCCCACACTGCTCAGGGCTTGAGGGTTCCTCTTCCCCTCCTTATCCCTGGGGGTGTCCTACTCCCAGATTCTTAGAGGAAACTGGTTCGACCAGTGTTCCCACTAGGGAAGCCTGCCAAGAGGTGGGATGGAAGTTTGGGTTCAGGCTGTGGCCGCCCAGCTTTGACTCCGATCCTGTTTCCCCATGCCCATGTGGAGGATGAGCGACAGGCAGGAGCTCAGGCAGGAGTGCACCCAATGCTCAGTGTACCTGGGATGTTTCACACCAACCTTCCTCCTTCCTGAGGGGTGGGGTCTGCATTTCCCTCCTCCTGTCTCCCTGCACAGGGCCTAGCTGGCTGGGCACAAAGTCGATGTCCCCATACCCAAGTCCCCAGAGCTCCTGTGCCCCCTGCTGGTAAAGAACCCCCCCCAGGGACCCCCCGCAACCTCCACCACGCTTCCCTGTGCCATGAGAACTGCCTCTGTGCACCAAGTTGTCCATCCCCACAAGGGGTCTGGAGGTTGGTGCTCATCCACCCTCTGTCCCTGAGGGAACTGAGGCTAGGTAGCTTTTGGGCTTGAAGTCACGCTGTTGAGAGGCAACTGTCTGCCCAGTGCCACCTCCTTTCCATCTTGGGCAGCAGCTCCTCCTGCACGTGGTGCATGGTGGCAGCCAGTGGTTGCTTGCTGGCTCTCACCTGTGCCAGGTTCCAGGTGGGGAAGGGCAGGGTGGCCCTGCACCCTCTGGCCCAGCCAGGGTCCCAGCAGCCCTCTGAAGTCTAGGCTGATGGGCCCCTGCCACACCGGGATGGGAGAGTGGTTGGAACTGGAGGGAAGGAGCCAGAGGCAACACCTGCAGACATCGTGGGTAACCCCTGCGGGGCATCCGTGTCTCCTCGTGCCAGCTCCCCCCAGCCCCGCCCCACCTCTGGGAGACAGTGTAGAGAAGTCACATGGCAGAAGTGTCCCTGTGCAATTGAGACTGGCCTGAGGGCCTCAGGCGGGGGAATGGGGAGGGGTCGTGCTGACCTGCCCAAGGCCTCTCAGCACCCCAAGAAGAGCTCGCCCCAGAAGAGGATGACCTCTCCTTTGAGTCAGGAGCCCAGGACCACTGCCCAAACCTCCAGGTCCCAGGGCCAGAGACTGTGGAGAGCACGCAGTGGGGGTGGAGAGAGGAGTGTCCAGGGCCTGAGAGAGCAGGCACGAGAACAGTGTGGTCGGCATCTGGGGTTCCCTGTGTGAGTCCTGCTGGGGGCAAGGACTGGGCCGGGCGCCGACACCGGCTTCCTGGGCTTGGGGTTTCTGTGGCTTCCCCCTCACAGGCAGAGAGGGCGGATTTTATGGATGCTCGAGAGACCTCCTGCCTGCGGGCTCTCCCTCTGAAGGGACCCGGACCCCGTGTGGAATAGCCCAGCTCTCAGGTTCCCGCTCAGGAGTAGGAGGTAGCAGCTGTGCGATGCTGGGCTGTCTGCCTGCCTCTCTCCACCCCATCTGCCTGCTCTCCACCCTCCCTGCCCCTGGCCTGCTTCCCCTTCTTTAAAACGGCAACAGTGTCCATCAGAGAGCTTGGTAGGTGGGATCACCAGGCTGAGCAAATGCAAATTCAAGAGATCCAATTACATTTGCATTTCAGGTAAACAGCGAATTGTTTTTTCAGTATGTTTCATTTTTTTCTTTTTCTTTTATACTTTTGAGACAGTCTCACTCTGTCACCCAGGCTGGAGTGCAGTGGCGTGATCTCAGCTCACTGCAACCTCCACCTCCCAGCTTGAAGCAATTCTCTTGCCTCAGCCTCCCAAGTAGCTGGCATTACAGGCACCCACCACCATGCGCAACTAACATTTGTATTTTTAATAGAGATAGGGTTTCACCATGTTGGCCAGGCTGGTCTCCAACTCCTGACCTCAAGTGATCCACCCACCTGGGCCTCCCAAAGTGCTGGGATTACAGGCGTGAGCCACTGCGCCCGGCCCATGTGTGTTTCAAATATTGCATGCGAAATACTTACACAGCAGTTCTTGGCAGTTTATCGGAAATTCAAATGGAACTGGGCATCCTGCATTTTACCTGGCCCCTGTCTCCACAGAAATGAGGGTGAGCGCCCGGGAACTGCCCTGGGGCTATGCTGGGCTCTCTTTCTCAGCCTGGCCTGAAGTTTCCAGATGTGAGTGAGGGGAGGAGAGCAGGACCTGCCCCTCTGCTGAGCTCTTACCTTCGCAGCACTGGCCACTGCCCAGCAGCAGGCGAGGCCCAAGACAACCAGTTGCAGACGCCCCATGGTGTGCATCAGCCTCTGGGTGGCCCTCCCGCTGGGCCTCGGGTATTTATGGAGCCGGAGCCAAGGTCACATGCTTGTTCATGAAGTCACAGACACCCCCTCCCCTCCACCCCTTCTGGTGCAGGGAGATCCAGTTTTCCCAAAACCCACGGTGCACCTGTGCAGGTTACCGCTTACCTGGGAGCAAGAGCAGGTGGCAAGGGGGGTGGTGGGGCCGGGCAGGGTGCACAGCGCTCTGCCTTCTGGTTTGTTCACAGGGCTTGGTGTCACTGTCAGAGAAAAGGGCATACTTTGTCTCCATGCACTGCCTGTCCCCCAGGTCCCCAAAGGAGCTTCATATGGGACCGAGCACGTGAATTCTGGAACAGAGAGGGCGGCATACTGCGGGCCCCCAATTCATGGGACTGACCTTATCTGTACGAGCTTTTCCTGGGGCCTGTGGAGCGGGCAGTCCAAGCTGGGTGTGGGTCCCAGAGCAGCACAAGGCAGTCCCACTCAAGGGTGGGGAGATGTTACCATCCAGCCTGATGTGTCCTGGGAGGGAGGACTAGAGGCTCAGGGGAACATGGTGTGGGTGGGAGGGTTGCGGGGGCATCTAGCCCAACCTTGAGGGCTTCCCTGAGGAAAGAAAGGGCCCAGTCAAGGCCCCCGGGCACACCCAGGCAGAGTGACAGAAGGGGAGGGAAAGAGGCCAGCGGGAGGGAAGGGATAAGGTCGTGTGAGGTCGTGGAGGAGGAGGAGGCCATTCGCATTTCTGCCAGGCACCTGTTACTCCCAGTGCCAGGAAGGCTGAGAAGTGAAGAACACACAGCAAAGTCTTCTGATGGGGCCGTTAAGCTCAGCCAGTGTAGAGTCCACCCTCACCCGAGACACTCAATGTAGCTCAGTCACCGCACAGCACTCTGCAGTAGTGGACAGGTGGGGGCAGCCAAAGCCTGCCCAGCCAGCAGCCCCAGGAGACTGGGCCTATACTTCCACCAACCCACACCCCTGCTCTGCCATCCCTGTGGCTGGTGCCGGGGACCAGTGGACCTGCCAGAGCCCGTCTGTTCCTGTCTGTCGGCCGACGTGCCCGGCAATTCAGGAGGAGCCTAGTGGGCGGCGAGGCTGGGGGAGGGCCGGGAGGGTGGGAGGAGGAGTGAAATATAGAATAAGGGGGCCTGCAAGGCGGCTGGGGTGTCCCAGAACAAATGCAGGCCCAGAGAATAAGGGGCCTGCAGGCGGAGAATAAGGGGCCTGCAGGCGGCTGGGGTGCCCCAGAACAAATGCATTTGCCTCAGGCCTTTGCCCCGTTACTCTAGTTCTGAGAACCTGCTCTACATAAAGGAGGAATTCTGAACTGGGAGACAGGCCCTTTGTGCTCCAGGATATTCACTGCAGTGATACTTACAGAGGCTAAGGAGGAAAGGGGAGGGCAGAGGGCAGGCAGCAGGGAGAGGAAGGAGGTGGGGGAGAGGGCAGGGGCAGGGGAGAGGGAAAGGAAGGCCCCACTTTTTATATATATACATTTTTAGAGCGGCTTTAGGTTCACAGCAAAATTAGAGGAAGGTTACAGAAACTTCCCGTATGTCCTCGCCCCACCCCAGTCTCCCCTATTATCAACATCCCCCACAAGGGGGTACAGCTGTTTCGCTTGATGAACCCACACTGACATGTCATTATCACCCGAGTCCACAGATTTTGGTTTTTTTTTTTTTTCTTTTTGAGACAGGGCCTCACTCTGTCACCAGGCAGTGCAGTGGCACAATCACAGCTCACTGCCTTCTTGAACTCCTGGGCTCAAGGGAGCCTCCTGCTTTAGACTGTCAAGTAGCTGGGATTACAGGCGCGTGCCATCACATCCGGCCAATTTTTGTATTTTTAGTAGAGAGAGGGTTTCGCCATGTTGTCCAGGCTGGTCTTGAACTCCCGAGCTCAAGTGATCTGCTTGCCTCAGCCTCCCGAAGTGCTGGGATTACAGTCATGAGCCACCGTGCCTAGTCTCATACTTCATTATTTTTTAAATTGGCAAAAAACAAAACAAAAAAAACCTTATTTCCTGGCTCTCTCTTCCAAAGTCCTAGCAGTAAAGAAATCCCAAGAGCAAGCACCACCCCTGGTGACCACACTGGGGTCTCTAAACATCATAGTCACACTGAGGAAGGAGTGCGCCCCGGGGGGATGGTTGGGCCGGTCAGCAGCAGGAAATGCCAGGGAGGGGCTGGAGTCTGCAACATCATGATGGCTACAAGTAAGGAAGGTGCCCAAGACCCAAGGGTTGTGTCAAAAGACTACAGAGGCCAATCTGAGGCCGCCTCTGGGCAAAGACAGACAAGCTGGGCATGAAAAAGCAAGCCTGCAATGGACAGATCTGAGTTCACCAGGCAGCCCAGGAAACACAGTCTCCGCCCCTCCTGCCCTGTCACTGGCCCTCGCCAGGGCACTAACTCATTGTTCTGAAAACTGTTAGAGGTGAACACAGGCATTTTCCCTCCTTTTCTGTCCAAGTAGTATTTCAGGGTAATCAAACAGACAATGAGGAAGATTCCTTTATAGAATTCCAGCTACTAAATACAGGGGGAACAATATAGTTCAAAAAATCACCATTTTGCACCCTTAAGGAAGTAGTACAGGCAATGATCAACAGCTGTTCAAAAGCCATTAAATACGCTGGAGGAGGTGGCTTCACACCTGTAATCCCAGCACTTTGGCAGGCTGAGGTGGGGGGATGCCTTGGGCCCAGGAGTTTGAGACCAGCCTGGAGAACATTAGTGAGACCTCATCGCTACAAAAAATTCAAAAATTATCTGGACATGGTGGTACACAACCTGTAGTTCCAGCTACTCAGGAGGCTGAGGTGGAAGGATCACCTGAGCCCAGGAGGTTGAGGCTGCAGTGAGCCCTGATTGCATCACTGCATTCCAACCTGGGCGACAGAGGAAGACCATCTCAAAAAAAAAAAAAAAAAGGACCCACAAATAAAACAAAAAAACCACAGAAACCCAAAAAAACCATTAGATAAAAGACCAATGCGTCAGCCTGACAACACCTAAACTTGCTGGTCAATCCTAGTGTCAACAAAGGGGCCCAGCAGACATCCTGCGCTTGCAGACCGACGCAGCCGAGGAAGAGACCTTGAACCTGAATCGGGCTGAGCCTCCACCAGTCCCCAGGAAATACAGGGGAGAGAAGCAGGTTCAGCACTACACAGAGGCAACCAGTCGATCCTGAATGGGGCCATTCTTTAGGACAAATGACCTTGTTTCTTCAACAAATACTCGGCACGCACACAGGTTGGGAGGGAGTGCTGCTGCTGCACTCGGGGAGACACAAGTGCCTCAGCCAAGGGCAACACGGGAGCAGGGTCAGGCAGGAAGGCTCGGTGGGCTCAGGACCCACTAGTTTCACACTGGGAAGCCATGGGACAGCAGGGTCCATTTCCCATGACTTTGTCAAGAGGGTATTCATTTAGAGAAGAACTGAGCCCAGGCCTGGAGTCCTCCCAGCTGCCCTCACCCAACCCGACCACATGTGAGGGGCACAGGCCAGCACTGCCAGCATGAGGTCACTGAATGAAGGAATAAAGGAAGGGACAAAGGGAGCCCAAGCCCCAAGGCAGCAAGAGACTCCCCTGCAGCTCCAACATTCACACTGAGAAACCAAGACTTCTTGGGACACTGGTTTAATAAGGACAATTCCAGAGGGGCCTGGCTGTGGGCAAAGCTGTGTCAAACAGTTGGGATCCAGAGCCAAGGGCACTTCTTGCCAACCTGAGACCATGGGCCAGGCTCCCCACACTATCTCCACCGCCATAGTCATGAGAGCCAAGTAAGACTGGCCTGTGGCCTGGGGCCCCACAGCTGCCCAGCTCCACCTCCGGCATTTACTGGTCTCATCCTGAGAGGCATTGGGTGCCCACTCACTGGCTGGAGGCTGGGCTGGTTCATGGGTGGCAGAGCCAGGGCATACCCTTTGGGGATGTCCCTAACCCCTCAGGACCAGAGGCAGCACCAAGCAGCACGTCACAGCCAGTGCTTGGGTCAGCTGCACCCTCTGCTGGGACTCCAGCTCTCCTCAGAGGTCCTCCTAGGGCCATTCCGGGCACTGGGGGTGGCAATGGGGAGCCCTGGCTCCCTCATTAGGCTGGACACCAGTCTGGCTGCGTCAGGAAGGCCCAGCCTTGGGCCCTGTCACACGTAGTCCAGAATCTCTGTCTCCATCTCGTTCTCACTGCCGTCGGATGGCTTGAAGTCCTCCTCCTCCTCTTCCTCCTCCTCGTCCTCCTCCTCGTCTTCCCCAGACTCGTACGTCAGCTGCCCTTTCCCGCCGTCAGCCTTGGCTGAGCTGGAAAAGAGAGCTGGGGCCGGAGGAGACGAGGCCATGGGTGTCCCATGCAGGCTGCTGGGTGGCCCCAGAAAGGCCACCAGGCTCTGGGGAGCCTGTTTACTACTATAAGGGTCCGAGCTCGAGCTCTGAAGAAGCTGGTGGGTAAGTATGGGGTGGAGACCCCCCGGGAAGGTGTAGTTTAACGGGCACCCAGGGGAATACTGCAGCAGGGGAGCCATGAGCAGCTTCAAGGGCCCAGGGACCCTCAAGAGTGAACCCGCCATTTTCTCTGGGAAAGGGTCCACACTCTTGATTAGATTCCCAAAGGGGGCTGAATCTGGATTCCAAGCAAGACTAAGAACCCCTGCTTCGGTCAGATCTGTGTGGCATGGCTGGGTCCAGGATGCCCCCTCCCCCAGCCTGGGAGGAGTCCCCTGAGAGAGGAGGCCTCTTATGACTCTCCCCAGCCTTGTCAGATCCACTGCCTGGCAGGTGCTGCCCCTTCACTTTCCCTGCAGCTGGCCCTCGCTCCTGCCAGGGTTGCCTGGTTCCAGGAAGGGGCTGGGCCCCGCAGAACAGGAAGAAGACAGAGGCAGAGCCTGCACACGCAGGGCTGAAAGACGTGGGCCGGTGTGAGGGGGTCAGGTGGAGGCCCCAGTGGCAGCGCCGGGCTGCTGCACCCGTCCCCTCTGGGCTTGTCTCCTGCCCCAGACCCCAGCGCCGAGGGCCTCGGCTCAGGAAGCCTCTGTGGGCAGCTGGGGTGATGCTGGCTCCTGGGCTGGGCTCTGGCTCACAATGCCCCCCTCCACCAGGGCCAGGGGTAAGATGATGCCACCTAGGTGCCATTTCTCAGGAATGGGTCCCCTTAGGGAGACCTCTGTCTCCAAGGGGATCCCCCGGCATCCTGGGCCCCCTTTACCCCAAGCGGCTCTCACCAGGCCTCTTGGAGCGGATGGTCTGCCGGATCATGAGGGACATGGTGTCCCTGAGCTCGTCGCTGGTCTTGGGGAGGCACCAACCATCCCGTTCCGTGCAGGAATTCTCGGCCCCATCATTGCGGTGAATGATCTTCTGCAACCTGGGGGTGGGGAGAGGGTTGTAATCCCAGCACTTTGGAAGGCTGAGGCGGGAGGGCCCCAGCTGGGGCCCTAAACCTGTGTGCTCCCTGGATCCCCTCACGCACATGAAGCTGGCCGTGTACCCCTGCACATGCTTCTGGTGAACCATGGCGTTCAACAGATTTCAAGATGTATTTGATGTCTTCCTATCTCCATCTCCTCCCATCCCAGTTCCCTTTCCCTGCAATTCTTTTTTTTTTTTTTTTGAGACGGAGTCTCGCTCTGTCACCCAGGCTGGAGTGCAGTGGCACCATCTCGGCTCACTGCAAGCTCCGCCTCCCGGGTTCACGCCATTCTCCTGCCTCAGCCTCCCACATAGCTGGGACTACAGGCGCCTGCCACAACACCTGGCTAATTTTTTGTATTTTTAGTAGAGATGGGGTTTCACCGTGTTAGCCAGGATGGTCTCGATCTCCTGACCTCGTAAGGATCCCTCCCAAAGTGCTGGGATTCCAGGCGTGAGCCACCGCGCCCAGCCCCCTGCAATTCTTTAAACATCACTGAGAACAAGTCGATAAAAGGTTTCTGGGGTCTGATGGGTCCTGGGATTGAGAACCACTCGTGGGGCCTTCATGTGGACAGTGGAAGAGGGGCAAGGACGTAACAGCAAGAACTGTCTCTGCCCAGTTTGGAGCCGCGGCTTTCTACAGGGCACTGCCTCTGCGAGGACCGCCAGCATGCCAGGGCTCTTGGCAGCACCAAACTCCCAGACAGGAGAGTGTTCTTGCGGGAGATGAAGGCCGACGTGAAGTGGAAGAGCTGCAGAGAGCACTTTGGTCTCTGGGTCCCACGGGTCCCCCTCAGTGTCTCAGGGCCCCTCCCATACGTACTCTTCCACATTCAAGTCGCATAACTGGTAGAACATCTGTCGATAGGGT